GAGCCCAGGAGTTTGAGGTTGCTGTGAGCTATGACCCCACTGCACTCTACCCAGGGCAACAGAGCAAGGTTCTGTCTTTAAAAACAAAAAAGTACCTATAGATAAGGAAACAGAGTCCCAGGGAAGTCAAAGCAGCTTGCCCAAGGTTATTCAGTCTGTAGGGCTAGGGCTCAAAACCAGGTGGTCTAATACCGAAGTCTGTGTCTTAACCACAAGATTATACTGCTCCTGGTGTGTGTGCCAGATGTATCACAACTGGGAAAACGATGAACGACTAAGTGGCTAGACTGGTAATATAAACGATTATTACTAAGACCCAATGCATATATGAGCTGAGAACAGGAGCAGATAACTCAGTTTGGTGGAACTGCAGGCTTGGTTTCTAATCCTGCTTCAGCCAGGACACTATTTGACTCTCCTAAGTGCTGCCTGCTCCCCTCGTCCTGGCCCCCAGCCAACCTCAAGGGCTGGAAGTACCTGTTCCCCTCTTGCCCCCGCTATCCTCTAACGTTGCAGTGGGGACCCCCTTCAATCCAGGCCCTGACACTTACATGATCAGCCACGTTGGTGCAGCCTCCTGCGAGGATGAGGGCCCGAGACACATCCGCAGAGCCACCAAGGGCCGCGTAGTGGAGGCAGCTCAGCTTTTTCTAGAGAGAAACAGGCAGCAACGCAAAGTCACAGGGACCCTCCTAGTGGGGTTTACAAAGCTCTTTGGGATCATTTTCCCATCTGCGGCTCACACCCCCCCTGGGACTTTTATTCCCATTAAACTCTGAGACTGGAGAAATCAATGGCCTGCCTGGGCCTGGTGACGAGGGAAAGGAACTCACTATGGCCTCAGCCTCTTCCTCACCTCCACTGCAAACTGCAGAACGTGGACCAGAGCCCGCCAAATTTCTTGGCTGGTAAAGACATGCAGATTTGAGACTCTGAGGAGATGGTTTCCGAAGAGCAGGACAAATAAGATTTGCCAGTACCAGACAAACCCCACCTGGCAAGCACTGCCCAGCACGAGCTGGTCCCAGCGTGGCCAAGCAGGAGCCTGGCAGGCTGGAATGGAGCCAATCTCGGCTGGGCCTGCGAAGTGCTCCCCTTCAGTCAGAGCCCAGCCCTGGCCCAACTGCCACCTCGCACAGGATGCGCACCAGACAGGCCCCACCAGGGTGACCAACTGTCCCAGGCTGCCCAGGACTGAGGAATCCCTCGGACCTGGGACTTTCAGCTTCAAACTCAGGACAGCATGGGGCAGACCCGGACAAGCTGGCCACTCTGCCAAAGTCCCCACTGAGCTAGTGCATGGCGTGAGTGAGACTCACTCCACCTCCAGTGGGAAATGCAGTCGCTGTGGGCTCGCCCGTCCTCGGAGACCTGCTGCATGACTCTCCGGAAGGGGTGGGAGTGTGGAGACACAATGTGGCCTCTGCCAGAAACCTCAAGCCAATGCTCCCAGTGGCCACCCAGCTGGACTCCACCTCCCCACTCGCTGAATTCCTACCGCTGCTACTATGCGGGAGGCCCAATGTCATCTCACTTCTTTTGTCCCCCCTTCCAGGACCTAGTACTGTGCTGGGCATAGAAAAAGGACCTCGGTGACCAAAGCACAACACCACACCGATGAGAGGACGTTGCTGGGTCCTACCTCTGGCCTCCCCGTCCCCCACCCTCCAGGGGTAGCTCCCACACCCCTCAGGGGAGTTCTGCAAATTAAGTCTTTCGTGATTATAAAGCACTGATGATTATTCACATTTAGGGGAGTTCAACATTGATA